CGTGTAGTATAGAAATTTGTAATAAGATACATAATGCGGTTATAATAAAATATTGTGCGACTATTTTCATATAATTAAAATTAATATATATTTATTTTTTAGAAAATACAAGGAAAGCCGCGCATCCACCGCTTCTAATGACAGCACGCCACTGCGGTAGGGAGTCATCTTAACCGCTCAACCATCCAGTTGTCTCCACTGGTGGAACAAAGGAATTGTGTTGCGCCATCTGTTATGAGATTTTATTAAAAAAATAAAATGTTATTAATTATTATGTTACGGCTAAAGCTCGAAATCCGTTAATGTGCACATTACCTAGCTAATCTGCATATTAACTAGGATGATCCGTTAATTAAAGTTGCTAAAATTGTTCTATTTCTCAAATTACCTAGGTAATGTGCAGAGTATCTAGGTAATTTGCACATTACCTACTAGGCATGGGTAAAGTAAAAATGAGATTTTTGCTGGAACAACAGCAACGTTTCTGTACGCTTAAATTAACATAATGTTATTTATTTAATTTTCAATATCTAAAAAATCAAGTTAATACAATCAAACAATCAACAAATTAGTTGATTGAATCAATCATCAATCAATTNATATGTTAAACTTTATAGTCATTTGTTTTCTAACTAATTCGTTTTAGGACCAAGTGTCCTCAGAAATTTCCAAAATTTACAACTTTTCGGTCACTCTCGTTGAACTGGAAAAATTTCTGTCTTTATTACATTAATAATACGAAGAAATCGGTCTCCACTGTACTCGGCTAGAGATGGTTTGGTTAAGCTTTTGTTTAAGTAAAATTTCGGTTCTTTCATTAAGGTTTTGTTTATGTCCCCAATTCCCTAATCGCTTAATTATTTAACTAATTCTTAAGTAGAAATAAATCGAAAACGGTTACTTTGTACTCGAATATTTATAGTCTCGGGGAAAAAGTGGAAAGACAAATTTTTATGACAAACGGATATATAAATCGTAAATTTAAGGAAAATAAATTCTAGAGCTTATGAAACGAATGAGAGAGTATTCTGTACCTCGATGCACGAGGTACAGAATACTCTCTCATTCGTTAAATTTAGTTGTAAATGATGCTGTCAAAGTAACAGTTAATTTTTTACATTGTACAAGAATTGTACACGGTTTTTCCACACCCCGTTAGAGATGGGATATACGAAATCGTAATATCACTAGTTTAACATTGAAATCCGTAAGTAATATAAAATAGGAGAGCGGAATAAAAATATCAAATATTTTAATGGATTTTTTAAAACTCCTGTCAACTATACAGAACTATCATAAAAACATATCAGTAAATTCTTATCGGTTGGGTTAAGTTATAAATGTACTCGTGATTCACATAATCGGGCGAGGGCGGCTAACAGCCCAGAAGCGGTCCTGAGTAGAATTGGATGCGGTATACGTGTAGCATCCACCCAAGGTCCTAGGCTTCCACCGGCTAAACTGGGTGAGGTTTGTGCTCTGTAAAGCGCATGCGCGAATCTGGCTTTTTGGATGGTGACAATATAGCGCTTCCCTTCCGCCACTAATATTCGAATATAAAATAGCAATTTTTTTCACGTGTAGTATAGAAATTTGTAATAAGATACATAATGCGGTTATAATAAAATATTGTGCGACTATTTTCATATAATTAAAATTAATATGTATTTATTTTTTATAAAATACAAGGGAAGTGGCGCTTCCAACGCTTCTAATGACGGCACGCCACTGATAACCAGAAATATCCTTGTTAATCCGCTAACTAATGGCCGAGTGGATAAAATCACAGGAAAGACTTAACAAACGGGCAGGCCATGTGAAATTTTGTAGGTTTCGTTCGTGTTCAGGGTAGCCGGAGCCGGAGATAAAGTTTACATGTGCTCCAAATAAATACTGTAAATTATTTGTTTAAAAGTTATAAGGTTGGAGCACTTTATTATCCCGCTTCGGACTATAATTTTCAGCACTATCTTTCTACATTTAATTGGCGTGTGAAAAACACACATAAGATGTAGGATGATATCCAAACCGTCGAGAATTTCGAGCACGGAAAATTTTACCTCCATCATTCTCACCTTTTTTGGCCCTGTTCACGTGTCTAGCATCGAGATAAGGCCAGTTTCCCACAGAAAGTCTTCTTGAGATACATTTTAGAAGATGTTATAAGTATTGTATTGTCTTATTTCATTAATACAATCTAATGAGATTTACGGAAATATTCACATCCGCGGAAACACATAACCATATTTAGTAATCCCACATAAAAAATATTAACGTACAGTATTTACGAACTTTTATATTATTACTTTCCCGGTTCTGCTTTATATAACAGGAAAAGTATATCTATCCTTCTGTTAGTCGCATGGGTCTGACAGACCCGACGCGATTTTCAGTCAAAATTTTTTACTATTAAATATTTTTTGAAAAATTTGAAAAAATTAATATTCCTCAAACTTTTTAATTAGATTAACATGCTGTTAAAATTTTTTGCATAGCAACGCTCATTTTTTAGAAAAAAAATGCTTTACGAGTCGCATGGGTATGACAGACCCATGCGACTCACGGAGGGGGTAAAAAAACGTCAATTAATTTGTCGCCGTTGCCGATAGCGAGTGTCGCAATAACTTTATCGCGCTGAAGTTGTCGCGCGGTGTCTATTATACTTTATAATATCGTTATTTATTTATATATTTATATTTTTGTTTTTTTTGTTATAATATTGTTTTCAAAATTAATGTCTAATTAACTTTTAATCATTTTAATTATTATTCTATTTTTATCATATAATTTTTATATATTACTTATGATGATTCTTCGTATATTAGACGATGCAAGTTGGCATTTTTTTACATTTACTAACCAATGGGAAACTTGTGAAAACAGTCTAGCTATAAATTGCCGGGAAATATCTCCCCCCTTTCGGCAATGATCTTGGAAATCAAATGTAAACAATCGCTGTAAATTCGCTTGTTTTATTCGCGTTTTGAGCTATAAATTGTTAATTAAATATTGTTTCA